CACACACACACATATATAACAATAATAAAATAATAATAATAATAATTAATATTAAAACAAAAACATTTTAACTTATACAGAGTAAATATTAAATGGAATTTCATTTCATGGAGCTGAATTGTTGATACCAAATTTTGAAGAAAGGAAGATCTAAATTAATTTTATGTGTATTGTAAAACAATAATTTTATTCATTGAAAAATTTAGTGTTCCATTAACTGAGCACTGCCTCATAAAGGTAGGGGTTGGAGAACAGCCATCTTCTTTAAACTCACAAATATATAATTCGCATTGCATCATAAACATTCACTTTTTGTATACCATTTTGAAAAACATTAAATTTCTGCTGTAACAATATGAAAGACAACTTACCACGCTGAATAGTTTACGCTGATAAGTTGGATAAGACTTGAGTTCTTGAAGGGTGAATTTGCTATGTAGTATTGGTCGCTGACCTAAAGCACTGCAAGGTGTATCAAGAAGGATTCGATCAAAAGATCCAGGAGGAAATGGCGGCTTATCATGGCCTGCAACATATAACAAGTTTCAATCATTGGCAAAAATATTTAATTGAAGAATAAAAATGAATTTTGTTATAGTCTACAAACAGTGTTCTCCCAAAGCCAGTTTAGCTGTCAATTTTACGCAGGGGTTTAGCCAGAAAAATGAAATAGGCCGTCCAAAATGGAAGACGAAGAACTTGTCACAGAGCGACAGCTGAGGCGCGTGGCCCTGAGAGATGGCAACAACCGGCAGTAATGCAAAGTTTTAAGTCCTACCTCATATTTTACACTCAGTGTTACGTGTTGTGGTTCTATCAAAAAGATATTTATAAATAAACAGAACACCTTGTACATGATCAATCATGCCTGTGCCTTTAATAATATTCACGCCACTGTATACGACACCATTACAGGGCGACACAGTCATTCTCAAACACTCACCAACTTCAGGACCACAATTGTCATCACAAGCCTTGGTGCTATCAAAAGCAAATATCTTGACACAAGTCAAACCGAATCGGTCCACATTATCTTTGATCTTGCTTATTTTCCTCGAAGACTTCTCCAAAGCATATACTACACCATTATCTTTCATCAAAGTGGCTATATGGACAGTCTTACCCCCTGAACATAAATAAAAGAATGCAAATTATGTCTGTGTATGTTACAGTATTGTAGCATGGGGATAATGCAGAAGTATTGTGTAAAGCTTATGCTGACCTTGCAAATCAACTCAATTCAACTAACATCAGTTGAGAGGCAACTGTGTGTGATGCATTTTGAGGCAACATATGCCAGTTGCTCTCAGTGGCCCATGTTCTATTTTGCAGTGATTCGAACAAGCCCAACACCT